CCTCCTGCATGTCCCCATCAATGAAATGCTCTCTGGCTTGCATACACCATTTGTGTCTGAGTGAGTGAGCGACTTGGGAATTGGAGGCAGGAGTGGTGGAGGGGGGGGGAAGCGATTTTTTTGTGTGTGTGCATGCGTGTGTGCCCTTCGCCCTCTGCCCTGACCTCCTTTGCAGAACCGTGGTGTTGCGTGACATACGGGTGAGACAGGAGTGTCAGAGCTGATGAAGGAGGTGGGGACTCACACACGCTGGCGGCCTGAGCAGCCGGCGAACTGAATGTGTGTGTGAGTGCATCTCTGTCTGAATGCATGTGGTCGTGTGTGAAAGTGAGCAGAAGAGAGTGAGAAGAACACACCAAGCCTGTCAACACTAATCAGAGCGAATACAGGATTTGTTTTTCAGTCACTTGACCTAAGACCTTTAATCAGATTTTAACAACAGATTCATTATGGGGACATTTATTCTACTGAGCAAATAGCGTGCGACAAGTGCTTTTACCGTTACCACTACATCACGACACCCAGTTAGTGCACACATGCATGTTTTTGGATATATATTTGCATAAAACTTGTGAAGCTGCTTTGTTAAATTCCTAGAAAGGCTGACGTTTTCTGCTGAAGGCATCGGAGCGGACAGGGTGTTATAATCAGACAGATATAGCAGCACGCTACATGGGAATCGCTCGAGTATCAGATCATCGTCACACACTCAATGTCCTAATGGCTCTCGGTCAAGCAGCAAATTACGACCCCGATCGTCGCCCAACAACTACGTGCGCAGTCACACAAGCAGAGCGGAGCTGATCCACTGATGCTTCTGTTAATGTGTTGGGTTTCTCAATGGGAAGTAAACAAAAGGCTAGATTGACCGTAGTGATGTGCTGCCTCCCGTTGCGTGACTCAACCTGGACCGGGGCCCCATGGCAAGCTGTGCGTTAGTTGTTATGGTGATGGGATCCCGAGAGAGGGAAGATATTTGTGTGTGCGTGTGTCTGGTGGGATTGCATGTCGTTGTATGTGTGAGTTATGGTATGCATGCATCGGTATAGCGTCTGTCTGTGTTTGACAGGTACATTTATATGTACTTTGTGCTGGTTTGTGTGCTTGCGTGTGTGTGTGGTGCTGTAGTGGTGTTTGGCTAGTGTTGAGTTTTGGAGTCTGATTGTAATAGAATGTACAATAAAATACACCTTTATCTGTTTACATTGTATTAATACGAGTATTTTCGCATATTTTTGCAGCCCAAGCAGTTTCTGAGCGCTTTTTGCTCACGTCACATTTTTACTCGCTGTGAGCTCAATTTGACTGCAATAAAAACGATCTGCACCTCTGTGAAAACAGCAAAACTATGGCTGGAAGGAGTGACTACTCAAAAATATCTTTTATTATATAGCAACATTATAATGCTTTAAATAATGAAAAAATAAGAAAACATTTAAGTTTAACTTTTTCATTATTTATTTTGCAAAAATTGGGGGGGGAAAATGACAAACATGTACATTTTCTCAAGTCGTTAACAATATTGGAAAAGTTCTACATATTACAGATCTTTTATTATTTACATTTTAATTTGTTTCTGCTCTGTGTAAACCGCCGAAAAGTCTCTGAATTTTTGTCATATAACTGTTAAACACAGCTGAGCCACGAATGGTTCGACAGTTTTACCAAGAAGCACAGAATTTTTTATTTTTTACACAATCTGGATAGAGAACATGCTTCCTTTTTCATTAACTTTCAGATGAGACATGTAGAATAAAGTGAGTTTGATGAAAACTTGTGAAAACCATTTTAGGCTCAGAATGGTTTAAGTTTATCGATGTAATGCTGTGTCATAGATGAGTAGTTTAATGACATAGATGAGTAGTTTTTTTCAGTTTCGGGTTGTAATAAATTGTGTAATTTTTGAGATTTTTATTTTTATTTTTTTTTGCAACATGCTTTCCAGGCCTGCTGGCAGGTTTTTTGGGTTCACAGAGTTAATTTACTAGTAATTAGTAGGAAAAACAAAGTACAAAGTGCTCAACGTATTAGTTAGAAAACTAATTTTACAAGACGATGACCTAAAGGCACCAGCTGAAAAGTAAAAGGATTACCAGAGGTGTGACATTTCAGCCCGAGCGGGACCTTTACACCATCTATCTGTACCAGATTTCATTGCAGTCCATCTAACAGTTATTGAGACTCAAAACCACTCGTGTCCTCGTCACAGAGGCGCCCGCGGAAAAGTCAGGCTGTCACCAAAGTCTTAATAGTCTGCATGTGTCACATTTTATAGCAATTCTTCCAATAGTTTAAAAAAAAAAATAAAATTCTAATGTGGACAGAAGCAGTGAAATCCCTAAACTAAAATGAAAATGAAAATAAACTTTTATGCTTGTCCTCTTGAGTGTTTGCAATAATACTGGATGTAACCCCATATTATTGTAGCCGTAGTGTGTGTGTGTGTGTGTGTGTGTGTGTCGGATGCGGGTGTGTTCCCGGTGGCAGAAGGTCTCCATGTTTGTCATGACCTCATCATCGCCGCTCTCATCTCACTGTGACAGCTCGACAGCAGGAAAACCAAAGAAACCCTGTTGAAACAATGAGACGAGGCTACCACCCACCCACCCACCCCCCCCCCACACCACCACCACCACCACCCGCCACCTTTCTCCCCTCCCTCCTCTTCCCCCTCCCCCCTGCTTCCAAATCCAGTGAACATATATTTTATTTTGGGCTCTGCGTGCAAAGCGCCTCTTAAGATTTGTAAGTCAAAGCTTTTAGTCTCCCAGGGGCGGTTATGAGAGCCGGGGGCGTCGTAGTTTCAGATATGCGGTGGAGCGGGCCAGCAGCAGGTGCCTGTTTCCATTACCTAAAGGCTTTAGTATGCAAGGAACTGAGGGAAATGTGAATGGAGACAACATGCAAAAACAGCGTGTAGCGCAGCGCAGCCAATATCGGCGCAGTATTTCTTTCTTTGAGTCTGGAACTCTGGGAACAAGAGAAGAACAGGGACGGCTTAGATGCACTTAGTTGTTTTTAGAATGAATAATTATAATAGTAGACTTGTTCTTTCCAGCTTTTTATCTGTAAATAGATTCTAAATGGGCGACCATATTCCAACACAAACGATGGGTGTTCCCTTAATGGACATGTGAGGAACAAATGAACGGTATTCATCTGTAATATATTCGCCAGGCCTTTCATTTTCGCAAAAAAAAAAAAAAAGCCAATTAAAGTAATCAACCTACAAAACACAGAGTTTTGCCTGCACATGCTCTTTCAGGTCACGGGGCTGAGGCCTATTTGTTCCAGAAGAATAAAAATGTCAAAGTCCTTTAAAAAAGAAAATGGGTTGCAGAAATTCACCATGGCATCTCAATGACTTGGAAGAGGAACGGAGAAACCGGCTAAATGAACCCAACATGTAAATTCTGGGCTTGTTGGATCTCATAAAAGCATTCCCACCGTAGTCAAGACTCTTTTTTTTTTAATGTCAGTTTCTTTTGGACACATTCTCCAAATGACAGGTCGATGAGTCACTGAGGCTTCCCATGCTAGTTGAATACGAGCCCTTTTACCCGGACAGTCAATTTTCAGGCAGTAAATGTTGATATCAGCAAATTAGATCCCCTTTAATTAGAAAAGTAATACACAGCAGCAGCCTATATAGCCCGAAACACCTTATCCACCCTGAGACACATGGTTTTAATGCAGCAAAGATCCCACATAGTCAAATTCTTGATCTAAAAACCAGACGTTTTCATCACAGACATGCTGGATTTGGACAAAAGACGCTGTTTTCATAAATATATTAAATTTGGCTCGGACATGCCGTTACCAGATGTTTATGCTGCCCCAAGTGCCCTCTATATTAAGTATCTTGGAAACCATATTAAGCTATGTTGATCCATCATTACCCCGCCTTCATTTCAAAAGCCTCAGAGTGCTCCGAAATGCACGGTATGCCTTTCATCGTAACAGGCGGACGAAATATCTTTGATGTGCAAATCTGTCTTAGTAGGTGCTGAGTCAGAAACTGTGCTGCGTTAGTGTATGAGTTATTTCTTAATAAATAGTAAAGTCACTTGTTTTTGAGTGCTCGCTGTGTGTGTTTGTGTGTCTCATGTGTGTGTGTGTGTGTGTGTGTGAGTGTGAGACGTGGGAGGGATCGCTCTCCTCCCGGACTTCACGAACATGTGCCAGTTGAGCTTGTCAAACATCATCTGGATCTCTTACGCCGAGAACCTGACCCTCCTTCCCATCCCCCGTCATGCCTTCATACGTGTTTTTCAGATATCATCATATCATAGTCGACTTATTTTTCCTCTCTCAAGGCTGCTCTGTCACAGTATGACTCTAATACCTCTGGGTTTTCGGGCTACAAATTGCTGTGTTCGCAGAGAGGTTCAGAGGGAGCATGTGCAGTGAGCGCGGCATTACATCGCTCGCTAGGGCAATCAGATCACTGTTGGGGCAAAAGTGAAAGAGGGAGAGGCGGAGGCACGAAGGAAAAGTAGGTACGAGTGAGAATCTAGAGGCCACGGGGATGTATAAAACACACACTCACACACACACACACACCAGGGAAGACCTGCATAGTCTCGCATTAAAATAGAGGTGACAGACTCTGGCAGCAGCAGTCACGCAAGTCAAGTAGCCTTGCAGTTGTCACGCTATCACAGCTGTGTGCACACACACTCACACTGGAAGACCTCTTCCCCTCTTCCTGTTCTTTTTTTTTTTTTTCCTCTCCTGCTTTTTTTCCTTCCCCCTCCATCTGTCCATCCTTCTCCCATCCAGCCAGTTATGTATTTATTTTAAATTTTCTTTTTTAATCAACACTTGTCTCTCTAAGCTGCACCGGCCAAACATATTATTCCCCTTTGTGTGCATGTGTGTGTGTGCAAAGAGTTTCTCTGCTTTTAATCAATGTGTTTGCTATCACAAATCAAAGCATGTTACCAGTCAAACAGACTTAATTATCAAAGTTTTGAACTTATGAAATACATATGTTTAGAGGAGAGCAAATTGGTGTGTATGTCATCTGCAAGTTAACTGCTTTAAAAGCACCATGAATCTAAACTTCACCAGAAAATATTCTTTAAAAAAAGTCTTTCAAAAGCAATTTTTCGCATTACAAATCAATAAGTTTTATTTGGCCCGCTCTGTAAAATAACCATCTGTCTTTCATTCCTGCTCCACTGTTGTATTATTCTGTCTTTTGTTCCAGTTTCACTGTTATTTACTGTTCGGAAAATTATGGAAAGAATTATATAAATCAAACATTAAAACGCTATAAAAAAAAAAAACGTTTGGCACATGTGCTTGGCTGCATTTTGTCTGCTTTTAAAAAAAAATAATTGTACAGTAATGACTGTAACCGCAGTCGAGCCACGGATAAAACAATTTGACTCCGTTTCACCATGTTTGTGCTGGGTGCATGCTAAGTGTGAATTATGCCAACTGAGGTTAGCGGCGCAAAGATAGAACAGATAAAAAGAAGCGGGTTGTGTTGGTGAGTTTATTTGCTGCATGAGCTGTCCTGAGTCACTGCTTATTTCTGTCTGTTTGTGTCTGTTTGTGTGTGTCTGTAGTCTCTGACAGGCTTTGCCCTGGTGGTGAGCAGCGATGGGATGGTCTTCTATGCTTCCTCCACCATCGTGGACTATCTGGGATTTCATCAGGTGAGTCTCAGAAATTTTAACATATACAGTACAGTATTTTCACTAACATACTGTTGAATGCAAGTGTAATGTGGGTAAATGTAAGCTATAATGCACCCATGCTACAAGAAAACATGTAGGAGAGGCTTAGTTTTATAATACAGCATCAGTCTTTTACGTCACTGTCCTGAAATACAAGCAGACAAGCAGACAGCGTCATTTTCCAGCCACAATATTCAACATTTCTCCCAAAAAATAAGCTGTTTTTTAGTGCCTCTTTCTTTATTTTATTGTTTGGAGTTGTGTTTCTTTCTTTTCCTACTTGATCACCATTTGTTGCTGTCTGCACTCGCTCTTATCTACTCATCTTAAAGGACAAGATCGTTTTAACAAATAAATATGAGTTTAGACAAAGTAATGTCACCCTCTGGTTTGTGGACTAAGGTTTTGAAGTTTGGAATTTCTCCGTCGCCATCTTGGTTTTCTTTAAATCAGATACAACAAGCAACCGAAACTCGAGGACACTTTGAAATACAGCAGCCACCTGTCAGTGGTAGGGCCTGGTAGCCCTGCCCTAAACGATACCCTGAATTATGCTCTATTTGACTTTAAATTAGGCAATGATTTATGAAATGAACCTCATGCCATATTGAAGGAGACTTGTAGCTAGCAATTGAGACCATCAGCTAATTTAGAAAAGGTTTACTAAGGTAATAAATCAAACGAGAAGTAGGTTCATTTTCCCATAAACTTCTATACAATTGGACTTCTGTTTGCAATCGGAGGAGTCGCCCTCTGCTGGTCGCCAGAGAGAATGCAGTTCTCTTTTGCGTCAGAGACAAGGCATTTAGACCTGATGGCTATCTTTCATATACATTCTGTGTTACGTGAGAGGACGTGAGTGACACTAATTGTTGTCACTTTTTGCAGGTAAGTTAATAAATCCACCACAATGGCCTCTAACGTAGCCCCTCTCAAGGTTTTGACTTAACAAATGTCAGATAGGGGCCTTATCGCTGTCCTTATTTAACAAGGTCACCATCCTCATCTTTTCTTCGGTCCGTTCTTTCTGTTTTCTACCATCAACCATCTCTTTCTGCTCTCCTTTCCTTTTCATCCTACGGCTAATGAGCCAGAGTCTCTCTTTCAGCCGGCCTCCCTGCTGCCTCGTAGCTCCCTGTAAAGGGCAGAGCAAACCCACCAGGTTACAACTGAGAGGCCACAGAGGGGTGAAGACCTCTGTTTCACCCTGAGATACACTCTGTGGGTGTCTGCGTATGTCTGTGTGTGCGGGCACTGATAAGTCACCAACGGTTTAACTTCCTTCCCTTCCGGCGGCTATACCCAGCCAGTCATTAATTATAAATGATATCAACACGGCTCGCCTGTCCTGCGATGCTGAAATCATCCCTCTCCTTCAAAACCATGAATAAAGTGCTTTTCACTGTTAAAATCCCTCCTTTGCCCTCATGTCTACTCAACGACACACACACACACACACACACATTAGGGTATAAATTCTTCTGCTACAGCGCTCCCACTTGGCTTACAAGCAGACGGGGGCAGTAACACAGCGCCATGAAATCGACATGAAAACCAAAGTGGTCTGAGAGACCCCGCCACAGTGTGTGTGACTGTGTGTAGGTGTGTGCGTTCAGGTTGTTTAGTAATGACAGGCAAAGATAATCAGATCTATAAGGTGCATTTGTGTGTCAGCAGCTCAGGCAACAGATTTAATTTGGGATGTCTCTGGGATGACTTTTTTTTTTTACATATTTCCATCCAAATGAGAATTTTTTTAAGATAATGCGCCACAAATCTAATGCTGTTTGATGTAACCTTGGATGCAAACATAAATATTCACTAGACTAAGGGTTCACAGCCAAACTAAGAGCTCTGCAATGCTGTGCTGCAGCATAGAGGGGCTTCCAAGGGTCATGTCTGCATGATAACCTTATGAGGAGGACTTTACCTTGTTAACATCATGAGCGAAATTAGCAGTTATCACCATAACTGAGCTTTGCCATCTTGAAACTTCAGTGTACCGATGGCATGATGGGGCTTTTTCTTTATTTTTATCATTTTCAACATGAGTGGCTGAATTATTCCTCTACCGCAACTTGAAACTGTGCAGTGTACAGCGGTTTTACAGTGCTTTAAATAAGTCGTAGGTGAGCTGGTGTGCTCTGACCGTAGCGCGTGGAGTGGGTGATGAGAGAGGCGGGGACTTCCCAGATCTGCACATTTTAGAGGAAGCAACAGTGTCAGATTACATCTAGTGCCATTAGTTTGTCAGGTATTTAGTCACAAACCAAAATATCTGCCAATTCCCAATTCTGACCTGATGATGGCGCTGGATTTAAAGTTCAGAGATCACCGAAGGCTGTGAGATTCATCCTGTGGTGAACATGAAAAAAGAAGAAAACCTACAAAAATGTTGAACAGTTTGAAAGGACTGGGACTGTGTTCCATTCGTCATGCTGTCTGGTGCAGCGTTGATAATGTCAACAAACAAATGCATTTGATTAAATTCAAATTTTCCTTCCATTGCCAACACAACCACAATTGGTTCTTTAAACGTACTGACCTCTGAAGCTGACACTGGTGCATTCATATCAATGTTTTTTATGGGAAAAATGCAAAAACAGGGAGATAAGGTGTTGACAAGGTTTGGTTGTTGGGCTCCAGCATGCAAAGCATTTTATGATAAGGTGATGAAAAATCCGTATTTATCTCTGCATATGATCAACCTGCTTCAAATCAGGTAGAGTTCTCTGTACTAGAGAAGCACTGAGACTCACAATGCAGGTGATTTCAATTAAATACCATTCAATAAGAATGAATGTGCAGCTGACAGCGAACACACTACTACATGGTCCGACATGAAAACAATCTTTAAATACTCACAGATCCTCACATTATATTTCAGACTGTCATCAAAACATTCCTTTTGTCTTTCCCACATGTTCTGCTCTTGAAAAGAGGCTGTTGGTTGTTTTTAAGTCACATCCTTTGCCTTTTTGGCCTTGACAACATGTCACATAATTCTGAGCCCGCAATTGTAGTCACAAGGACACTTATCCGTAATATACCGCAGAAAAAAAAGAAAAGAGAAGGCCTCACTAAGTAGCACCACAAGAAAGCTGTGGAGAAGAGCAGAAAACCTCCACTGGCCTTTGATCCAATTTGTTACTGGGGCAGTTAGCCTTTGAAGGTCAGTGAAAATATCACTTATTCTCCATTTTTTCCCTCTTCTTTTCCTCTCTCTGTTTTTTACGAGAAACATAAACAATAGTCACTCGATCCGTCTGTCTGCCTGACTGCCGGTAGGGAACCAAACCACAGGACGAAGCGCTCGCCGAAGACGGTGGGAACAGATTGTGTTTTCAGAGGCAAGCGATCAAAAACCCTCGCGTGCCACCAGTGTGGAAATTATGGAGAGAGGGCAGGGAGGAGGGAGAGAGGGAAGCGGAGAAGGTTGAACATTTTAGTGAGGAATCTGTCATGGAATGACAGAAAGCAAAGCTATTGCTGGAAAAGAGAGGGAGGCATGACGAGAGTGGGCTGGAACCCGACTCACTCTGTGTGTGTGTGGATGGGGAGGGTAAGCTGGGCTGGACTGCTGTTCGGGAGCCGGTGTCACGCGATGTTTGACAAACACAGCTGCCCTCACTGGCCCTGCAGCTGCCCTTAGACTATTACTCTACTGGGTAAATTCTCCTGCCTGTATGCATGCGCAGGAATATATATATATATATATGTAAATGTACATGCATGTTTCTGTGACTTCCGCTGGCTGTGTACAGTACAGCCCTTGTGTGTGTGATGGGGAAGTTGCACGCTTCCTCGGAAACCTGGGGCAGATGGAGTTCTTCTGAGTAGCAATGAAAGGAATCCCCCTCCCTCAAACAGCAGCCACCAGCTGCACTGACAGCAGCAAAAGTCCAGAGTCACTCTATGCATGCTGCTAAAAATACTCAACCTCACGTGTATTAAGATTTTCATGAGACATGACAAAACCAGTCTAAAACTAGAGATATCTCCAACCGATTATGCACATGTTTGATATGAAATATTTTATTCAATGGATTTCCTCAACAAACTCAAATCTCCTCCCTACAGACTGACGTGATGCACCAGAATGTGTTCGACTACATCCACATAGACGACCGTCAGGAGTTCAGACGCCAGCTGCACTGGGCCATGTGTCCTCCACAGCACCAGGGGACGTCAGCGAACCAGGACACCCAGCTGGCTGCAGGAACTGGTGGGTAGCGAGTATGGTGACCGGCACATAGCTGGAAATCCTTAGAAAAATGTGAACATTAAAGAGAAGCTAAACTCTCTTCGGTAAAAATCCTTTTTTTTTTAACGTGGTAACTTTTCCATAGGGTGCTTTTATTAAATGCTGGAAGCAACATAATGCATTAAAAATAAGTTGTGACTGAGCTTTTCCGCTTGAAACTGCGGTGTACTAATGGCAGTCTCTAAAACACAAATTTAGACTAAAGAACCAAACCTGTCAGGATGGAGCTTTCTGTAGTTGTTCTTCTTCAGAATGAGCCCAGTATTACTACATGCCGTTATGCAGCGTACAGTGGTTTTACAGTGTTTGAGCAGAGTCGTAGATGAGCTGGTGTGCTGAGAGCTGCAGAGAGTGGAGACGGGGGAATGGAGAGAGAGGAGGGGACTTCACTGCACATTCAATATAGTGTTACATCTAAGCTATTTTGAAGGCAGAAGGGATTATTATCATGTAAAGACGTCTACATTTATAACTCCAACACACAGAGATTCATTTTTAGGGGTTTAAACAATGATCACTGTTTTTAACATTCATTTAGATTCATTAAAACAGCATTTATAAATATTAAAACATAGTCTGTAAACATTTTTCAACCACTAAGTTTGGCCATCTTTTGGAACTGATGTGTTGCTTAGTGTCTTCAGTGTCCGTGTTTATTTTTTATGTTTTATTGGTTGTACACAAATTGCAGTTCAAGTTACATTATTCACATCCTCCTCCTCCATCTGTCTCTGCAGGTGAAGACTTCGTAGTGAGCAGCCTGTTCCATTCACAGGAGGCCGGGGAAATCCCTTCTGAGCTCTCCTGCTTTCTCAACAGATGTTTCATAGCCAGAGTTCGATGCCTCTTGGACAGCACCTCTGGATTCCTGGTGAGTGGTCTGAACCAGCAAAAATAAACAGAAACTTCAGGTTTCAGTGCATTAAAGTTTACGCTAAACATTAAAACTGAGCAATGGGCAAAATATTGCCCACTCGCTGGGAGAAGACCCAGACCTATAAAAAGTGTTATGACCCCTTTGGTACTGCAGAGCTTCATTTATAATTGCAGCGTGTACCGTTATTTATAGATGTATTGCAAGGAGTTATAAAGTAATTGGGCGCCTGGACACAGCAGCAGAATAGGAGCTCGGTTCATCCCTCATGGCTGTGACTAGAATGGTTTGGAGAGCAGCAGTGGAAAAACTAGAGGCCCTGATGACAGAGCAACAAGACTATGGGTTTGGACCATTTATCAGGGTCAGTCGAGTTCACTGTCACCAAGTCCACTCTGGCTGCACTGAAGTTGGCTGCACAGCAGAAATTCTAGATGGCAGTTTTCTGACATATTCTAAAAGTGCTGGTAGCCAAGTAGTGAGCAAATATTGGTGAGATGCTTTCCTCATCAGTCAACATAATTAGAGTTAGGACACAAAAATTTGTAATGTAATGCCCAGTACTCATTCTGCTGGCAAATAGAAAAGCCAGAGAATCTTCATCTCCTGGTAAAAGATTTAAACCATTTGCGTGTGTTGTCAGCCACAGTGGCGGCATCAGTTTAGGGAAGATAATGTCAGTTAGTCATTATAATATTGGTCAAACATTTGAAAAGATTTCCACCAATGTCAACTATTCCCCGTGCAGATTAGCTCATTTTAGCATGCCAACAGGCTAAAGCAGGATATTCAACCCGGAAAACTATCTCTAGTTATCAAATGAATGCTAGTATTGTAACTGTAGCCGTATTAGTATGCTGATGCTAGTATTTAGCTCAAAGTAATGCCATGAAATAGTACAGGGTCAGTAGTGTAGACTCTTGGGCTATTTTAAGAGGACACTTCTATGCACATCCACATGCAGCCCAAAATGTGTGTTTGTGCAGCAACTCGGTTACAGAGGCAGCAGTGCACATGGTTGGCTGTAGAATGCATGCATCTACTGCACCTGTATGGAACAGAGTCGGCTCTGAGCTAGAAAGTGGTATAAAAGAGTTCACACAGGCATGCTTGTGCAGCTGAAATGTGTGTCTGCATGGACAGTGACTACACTACGAGGGCAGTAGTGTGCATGCTTGGTAGTGTACATGCACGGGATACGATAACACATCTACTGTGTGTGAATAGAACCTCAAAGTGGACCAAAAAAAGTAGTACAATAAGGCCAGTGTTGATTTTGTCAACTCCCGCAACTCAGTGTGGACCCCTCTGCAGATGTTCGTGTGCAGCCTAAAATTTGTGCAACTACGCTGCAAAAGGCATTGATGCATATGCATGCAGATACAATCAACTGCACATGGAAAGAACTGAGTCATCCCAGCAGGCTGGAAAAGTAGTATAATAGCAACAACTGTGTGTCCATCGTTGTCCATGTGTGAGTCCACGGGGGAGCATAACCAAGGTTTTAGCTTTGCTTGCAGTTCAGTTATTTGTGCAGGTATGGGCCCATCTATAATCGATTTTAGATACTTTGAAGATTGGATTAACAACAATTAAAACAATTTAAAATGGAAACAAAGACGAGTAGATATTAATATAATTGTCTTCTGCGTGAATAAAGCCATCAGATGTGCTCATACCGTTCTTCCCCTTCTGTTCCAGACTATGCAGTTCCAGGGTCGGTTAAAGTTCCTCCATGGCCAGAAGAAGAAGTCAGCGTCTGGGGCTCTAATGCCTCCTCAGCTGGCTCTGTTCTGCATAGCGGTGCCACTCTTACTGCCCTCCATCACCGAGATGAAAATGAAGAACATGTTAATGCGGGGGAAGACCAAGGGGGGAGGAGGAGGGATTATCTCTGCGCTGGAGCACGGGTAAGACCTCATACATGAGCAGCATTGTTGCAGCTTTAAGGGAAGGTAGAGAGAAATTCACACTGTGTCCTGCACTGATCGTTTTAATGGAGGTGCTATGTAGTAATTAAAGGTCACACTTTTTTTTAACAGACTTTAGGGTGAAATTTGATGCATTTTGGCACCTTGTTATGGCCTCTAGAAAGTGACACTGGTTTTCCTGATGTTGGAGTTAGAAGTAAAGGTCAAAACTGCAGAGCGTGGGAAGCCTCAGCAGCTACGACTGATGCTGTAGCGGCTCATAATACAGAAGGGCATGACGATTTGTTATTGCACAGTTTACAGTTAGTGTAAAACATAACTACTGAACACCTTGGCTAAGATCCACAATATAAAAAACAAGAGTCCTGAAAAAAAATACATGTGCAGCAGTCCTGTGTCATTTATTGATTGTTATTTTAGAGATACCCTCTTATTACCGGGCAACGGCTCTATGAACACACAAGCATTTTTTACCCCGAGACCCAGTTACCAACACAAACATAAGCCCTTTCCTCACCCAGCAGGCTCTGATACCAAACCAAACAAGCGCTGGACGCCATACCTGTGGCCAATTAGGAGCAAATACATGCCTCGGCTTGGATGAGGCCCTCAGTGATTCATGTATCATTAACAGCTTTGGGAGGCTGAGAGGCCAAGTGTTGCGCTGCAGGCGGTGAGCAGAGCCTACCACCCCCTCTGCTGTTCAGTCTGCCCCTGCATCATGCGGGGCAACATGGTGGATAATATTCTCAGGGTGTTGAGCATAAAAAAAAGCAGCATTTTTACTCTACATGGCATCTGGGTCTGGCTCCACCAAGACAGACTTTGGCTTCGTTGGTTCCAAAACTCAGTCTAGTTATGACTATTTAAAGTTGGAGTAACTTGCTATAAATGAAGGGTTTTTTTTTCTTCCATATAATAAAACACAAGAGAGAGACTGCATGAGAGTATTACAATAAAAAAACAAAAAACAATACTCCTCTTTTTTTGTTATTTAATGCCAGTAGTCAGCCTGTGTCTATGATTGTTACCATGGAGACATAGTTCCTCATGGTTCATTATTTACCTATGTGTACCGCGGCTGACTTCTCAGGCTTAAACGATGTCATTCTTTGTTTTTGTGACACTGTCTAGCATATATTAGACCAATCTAGGAGAATAATAAAGACTCCCCCAACCCAGATATTGCCACAGAATATACAGAGAGGCAGACGGGCAAAACACACCATATATAATAGACAAACAGGCGTGTTGTCAGAAATTCTGAACGGCAAATGAGATAATTAAAGGTAATTTGTCCAGACTAGGACCTATTATTACCATTACACTCATGCACAATGTTTGAGGTTCTGTGTAAGAATTTTTGGTGCAGATTAAATTAAACTAAAATGAAGAATGGGGGGAGAAAAAACATATTTTTGAGGTATTTGTTCTGGCATAAAGGAAAAACTTAACAAGTTAGCAAAACGGACTAAATGCATTTTATTTTGTCACATGCAAAGTAAGGTCCAAGCAAATACTAAAGCTCTACCCGGTTAATGAAACAGTTGTTAATTGGTAACTTCGATTGTCATGATTTTCACAGTGAAACGAGCTCAGGGATAAATTAATTCTTCCAAATCAAGAGATTAGAAAATGCTATTGAAAAAAGCTGCCCACAAAAGCATTTCGCAACTGCAGTGTGTAAAAGTGAGGATCCAGTGCATTGTACTGCCTATAAACATGGAGTCCAAGCCATCTTTGATCTGAGGGGTCTGGACGTTGACTCTGTTCTCAATTTTCAGATGAGACACATCCCGGAAAAGATGAGTCACTTTTGGAAAGATTCTCTCATGAACTAAAGTGAACCAAACCTAGATATTTATGCTTTGAGTCATTCGTCACTCAGTAGATTCACTTTGTGGACATTCCCATATGGATATATGGGTGGACCAGTGATATTTTAGGAGAATGCCTCAACTTAAATGTTGTCAAGAAAGTTTATTCGATTTGTCTACTTGTTTCGTGACTAATGATCAAACTCTTCTTTCTGTTTTTCCCCTCTCTCCTCCCTCTTCCCTCACAGCGAGCGTGGGGAACACCTCCGGAGACACTCCTACAGTGGAGGGATGGGTGACATTGCGGACCCGCTCCTCCTCTCCTGTCCCACGCCCGGCGCTACCCAGAGAGGTCACCACACTCCCTGGACCCCGCTCTCCAAAGACAACCTCAAGTACCGCCCTGATGGTTACTACAACCAAGAGGAGCCCCTCAACTACTGCAAGTCCTCCATGGCTCCACCTAAGGGTCTCAGCCCAGGCCTGGGCGGCGGGTGGCCCCTGCGGCAGAACTCAGGTCCCCTCAGAGCGGGTCAGGGTGTCGGCTACATCCCCTCTAACCGCATGAACAAGACGGGCCAGTACGGGAAGCCGTATCGCCTTTCCCCGAGCTGTCACAGCGGCAGAGGCGGCGAGGTGTTTGTCTCCAGGCTCTACGGGAACGTCCAGATTCCCTCGGACCCAGACGCCTACTGTGTGGATCTGGTGAAGAGCGAGAACGGCTACGGAGAATGCTACGATGGCCACCTTATGTCCGAGATGCCACCAATCAAAGTAGAGCACGACTCGGACTCCGAGAACGGCTGCGACGCGTACGGACGACCCTGGGGTTGCCGCGACCCAGCTGCTATCGACCGGCGCTACGGTAACGGGGTGTACGACCCAAACTCTGGCCTGCAACTCAAATCCGAGGCAGATTATTACGACCCTCAGTACTCGCCCTGCCAGCGAGGGAAAGCTGGAATCAGTCCACCGTACAACAACGGCAACTACCAGAACTATGCAGTCAACAACGGCGGCAACAACTCCGCGCGTCTCTTAAAGTGTGACAAAGACTTGGGGAATAACAACGACTCCAGCCAGTTCAGTCCTCAGAGACTCTCTCACTCAGACTCTCTATGCAGCAACCAACCCGTCAACCTCATGGACTCACACGTGTATTCACAGGACCCGCACAAGGCCTACATGCACCCGGACTACAACAAGCATGGCACTTACGAGTTCAAAGGTCACGGTCTGATCCATTCGATCAAGCGCGAACCCATGGACTCCCCGCCGTGGTCTGAGAGCGGCCACGACATGAACCAGTCCATGATGGTTGGTCCAAGGAACGTTATGCCCTGTGTCATGAGCACGGGGCACCACAAGTCCAGCCCCTACATTTATATGCCCTGAGAGTGATTGGCGCATTACCTTACACACAAACACAACCGCAGATACTGACCTGCCTCCCCCGTCCCCCCCGAGACCCACTCCACACACACACACGCACAAACAAATCAGTGTGCATTAAAGTCCTTGGTCTTATCGTCTTCATACACATGCACCAGCATTACAAGAGTTTCTGCTTACAAGGATTCCCAGGATGTCAAGTACTTCTTCTGTTTGATGAAGAGGTCACAAACAAGGCTCAGGTTCTAGTGTCAGTGTTGTGACAATCAGAAATAATACTTTCAAATCCAGTTTATGGATAGATGATGTTGTTTTTAAGGAATACATTTTGTAGTTGGTTCCAAGCACTTTTGGATTTTAGTGACAATGAGACAGATTATGTCTAGAAACACAATTCTATTTTTGTTTTCTATGTTGTGCACTCCTGGTTTTTTTTTTTTTTTTTTGTGGGAGTAACAAAGATTTTGCTGTAAAAAGATGTTTTGTTTTGTATTTTTACTTTGTACACAGGAGATGACTTTCACCTACTGCTGGGCTTATTGGAGTGAGATGGCTGATTTTGAGAACATCTTTAGGAGTCAGTGATAACAGCTTAAAGAACAACTGGTGGTTTTGCATGTTTTAGTGCTTTAACTATAGATACCTTTGTCATTACTGCCTCTAGTGATGTATGAATGGAAACTGCTGGTTTCTATGCATTGTAGAATCGAATTAAATCAACTTGCAGAGACTTGAAACTTACTTGTAATCCATCAGCAGTTTAAAAAAAGAAAAAAAAAGTTGATCAAAGTTCGATCACTGTTGCGACCAGGATCTGCTTTGAAAACACTCCTCGTTCATGCACTCAAGGACACTTTAATGCATGACACAACCAAATTCACATCATCCTTTTCCTTGCAACATGCTGATTTGCTTAGTGTTTGCATTCTGAATTAGATTTTCCAACAGCACATCTACCAACGCAGTGCTTTTGTCGGAGCAGCCTTGAACATACCCCTAATGACAGTTTTGAAAACGGTCCCTGCTTTGCTGCAGAAGCAGGCAGAAAACTTCACCGCAGTCACAAACAATTCGCAGTTAATGGACCAAAACATGTAAAACTATCAGTCGGGCAAAAGCTTTAAGTATATTTGTTGAATACACTAGAAACGGCGTCATCACACGTGTCCTACTGAAGCAAGGCACTAATTAATAACTTGTGCTGCTCTGAGCTTACTCTGCAGCTCTGACCTCCTTTGTGGAAGGGATAGAAGCAAATTCAGAGCGCACGAGATGAAAGTTACTGATTGAGAAGAAAGACACAGTTAACTGCATTCAATTGAACTGATAGGTGAAAACAACTTGCTGGAATTGCCCTTTAAATTGCAGGGCAGGTGAAGAGGAAGATGTTCTGCACCAGTCTGTTTATACTTACTATCAGTTAAATGTTCAGACGAGATAGATGTGTTAGTTTGAAGCAAACATTTTACAAAGTTTGAATTTGAGTCTTCTTTCGATGTGCACAATAAAGTCATCATTTTAGGTCATGGAACTCCTGTTTGAACATACAATGTTAATTTATGTCCAGGCTAATATTGTACAGTTTAGATTAGTGTTTAAGACGAGATCAGCATTTCAACTCAGCCTCACATCTCACTGCCGCTATGACACATTTCCTTTGAAATGAATATACACTTTTACATGTCGTCTTTTCAGTCCAAAAACATCAGACGTTGTCCTCACATCAGTATTTTTGCACAAATGAACGAAAAGCACCAAATTGATTCAATGTCAGTCTCAGTTCTATGAAGCTACCGTTGTAGTTTCTAAATTGCACTACTGGGAGTAGTTCAATTGAAGTTCAGCCTACCCAGACAGGTTTCTTGAGTCGACACGCACAACTGTACATGGTGTCACTGTTTTGGATTTGTCTTTTTCTCTGTGTGTGTGTTCATTTCAGTAAATGTTTGATGATTCGTATTTATTGTAAGAGGCAAAAGTGTATAATTTAAAAACTACAGTTTGAAGGCTTTTCTGTTTTACTAACGTGAATAAATATGGCTTTTTTTTTTCTTGCTATCTTTTTGATAATTGTTGAAAAGACCGTCATACTCGTCTCATGGAGGAGGTAGCTGCAAGGTAGCGAACACAGTGTATATATGCAGTGTCTTCCAATGTTTCTACGTGTTTTTGCAAATGGGACTTATCTATTAAAAGATCTTTCTTTATATGGAAATTCAGGGTGAGCTACTGTTCTTTCTACTGTTTGCACGATAACAAGAAAAAGCACCAAATTACTGCCTGCTTGGTGGCAACAGGAACGTTCTAGGCAATCACAAAACACCATACGATTTCTGCAAAAGCTTAGATACACCAGTTGGTTTCACAATGTCCAATATCACAGAGCTCAAACCAAATAATGTGAAATCATGTACAACACAGTCATTCTACTAACTTAATGCTTTCCTGCTCTCGTAAATGCTTCCCAGAATGAAAAAAAAGCTCAATTCTATTGTTCCTTTAACATCCTTGTTTCTTTAGTAGCTTTTGAATTTTTTACAGATACCAAATGTGGTCTCATCCTTCAGATTTGTGTCTTTATTAATAATAAATATTGAGCAGTACAGGATACAGAGTATCTCTAGCCACATTCCCTGTATGATTAATGTGCTGCAACGTTCGCATGACAGCGCCTTCACACGATCTGGGAAACTCAACACCCATCTCTCACCGCTGTCTGGGACCAGGGCCGGAGCCGGGGGAATGCTGGCATCCATGGAAAGCTGGTGGAGGGCAGAGAAAGAGGCAGGGGACAAGAGGAGAAAGAGATGTAGCCTAAAAGCTGTGGTTAGACCCTCGTCCTCTTGGAACCCCCTCGAGAGCTGGACTCCTGTCCTACCAGGCAGTTAATTGTATTCACTCGGAACATCTGGTTTAAAGCAGTCCCTGAACATTCACTATCATCCACTAAAATATGATAGATCTTTATTCAGGGTCCCTTTGCTCTGAAATTGAACATGACGCTGGATGTGTAGCATTTGTTAATGCTCATCCATAAATCAGTCATCTTTAATAAGTAAATGATCAGCGGCTCGAGGGCCAAGTTCAGAGTGCCTGCAGATAATAGAGCACATGATTTAGAGAAAAGAATGGAGAAAATGTACCAAACAGCAGAGGACAAATAATTACAACGCTGGAAACTGTGAAGTAAAATGAGGAAAAAAATATCAGAATTTACAGGAATCGCTACTCTGGAAGCCAAAGTTAAAACCGCAGGTCATTTGACACCCTGCGGCCTTTTGCTATGTGCACTTAATACTTGTAAAACTATGAAAGAACAATCCTGAATAGCACACACACATTCAAAAGTGCTTTCATTAAGCTTTGCGAGAACAAAACAAAAAGGCAGTGTGTCGTTTTATTCAATTCTATCAGTTTTTTTTAAGCATTTATGGCTCCAACACACAGCATCTCTACAACAGAATATGTGCCATGAAATCATCAGGGTTAATGGAAAGTCCCACCTGACTTTGAGCTGAACAGTTCAAATACTTTTTGTGCACAGTTGGCTAAATATTACCCATTTTTCTAAGTGTAACAACAGAAATTCGATTTTTGGAAAAAGACTGCCAATTGTACGCTGGGTTTAGATTTTTTGTTTGGCGTATTCAGGCAGTTATGTCCCGTCTGTCTAATGGACACCAAGAGCGATATCCAGATATGATTTTCATCCTGGCCAGCCAGAGCTGACCTCTGACTTCTAATGGAAAACCAGAGCTCTGGATTAATGAAGCCAGAGACTCATATTCTTTCTTTAAACACTTCAGCATTTCTCACTTCACCAGTTTCTTTTGCCGAGTTCTCACGACGAAATAAACACTTTGCTCGTCAATCAAGCAGAGCTGCAACAGACCTGTCCAGCCGTCACCTCTGGTGAAAAGGAACGAGTCTCTCTAGCCGATTCCCAGCTACAGTATCACCAGTCCTCCCTCTAATCCCTCCCAGAAGCTTGTGTTTGTTTCACTGCCGTCAGCGTATAGCTTATGGGGAATTACAGGATCCACAAGGATCAGCTCGTGCAGGGATTGTACTTATTAGGATGATTGTGAGCGTGGACGTGCACTTGTGTATGTGCGCGCACGCCTGAATATCAAGTAAGCAGCAGATAGCCACATCTTATGTTTAATTATTAATGAAATTAGAGGAAATCCTGTTATGATCTTGGCATCTGTATGATAAAAAAAAGTAATAACCGCTATGTGTTTGGAAGTATAGTTGTAGTTATTTACAGCACAGATCCATCAATCATATGTGTTTACTAGTGTTGCTGAGGTAAAGGGAAGCAATAGAACAAACTAAACCTGAAAACAATAAATTCTCATATGAAGTGTTTCATTTTTTAAAATTACAAGCTGAAAAAAAAAAAGCCACAAATTAATTTTCACATCATCCCACATCAACAACCAGGTAATCAGTGTGCACATTAATATTAATGGAGGTCTTTGTTGGTCTAATTATGTGTCACTTATAATTGCTTTGAACAAAACGTACCATAATTATTGGTGCTATAAAAGCCAGCGTTTCTCCATTTTCAACTACACTTCCCATAAACCCTGTTGATTCCTCTGGAGAACGGTGTTTTGTTGCTTCACTATGGAACAACTTACACAATGGCCTGTCAGTGTTAATGCTCGTTTTCAACCGTAAAGAGCCAGACAGTCGTACAGGAGACTAATTCTCTTCCTCTTGATTTAAAACATGTGTGATCAAATTAAGACCTTAGTTCCTGCTCCAGCTCCAGTCTTGACAGGAAGCCCTCGGCCCTTCACAGTTCACTGAGGGCTTCTAGGGATCGACATTCACATGCAGAACTTTAACACAACACTCCAGGTTAGTCTTTACGGGAACACACGTTTCTGTGAAGAACGCTTATTGGGAACTACTTTACAGAAAGGAACCACGTCAGACTTTTGCAACCTTGATTTCCACTGAAATTTAAATGGGGTAATGGAACACACACACCTTTAAATGTATTGTTATAAACAGTCAGAACAAAGGAGAAGCAGGTCTCTGTGGCCTCAGTGGATAACATGAATTACACGTGTGATCGTGTCTCACTTACATGCTGTCCACTCTTTTTACGGAGCAACAACTCACTCATACGACAGTGTTACATCTCTCACATCTCCCCAAAGGAGCGCTTTGCTTTTGTCTCACTGTTGTTTCATGACTGATGCCATAACAATGAGAGGGTGAGGAGGGGGCAGGGAGGGAGGGAGGGAGGACGAGGCTGACTTTAAATGTTTAATATTCGTTAGCATGCACGCAAAGCTTCCATCACGCCATCTGTATGACACTTGCTCTGGACAGGAAGAGGGGAAAGAGTGAGAATGAAAAAGAAGGAGAGAGAGAGAGAGAGGTGGAGTGAGGCAAAACCTGGAGGTGAGAAAAGAGAAGTTAGGTTGGGATAAAGGGGCACCAACAATGAAAAGAGCACATCCAATCAAGAGAAAGGAGTGACTGCTTAAGGCAACTGTAGTGTAAGCAAAGTATTTGATGCTTGTTGACAGCTGTATCTGTGAGGCGCTCTGTGTGTGTGTGTGTGTGTGTGTGTGTGTGTGTGTGTAGACCAAGACCTATAATCCTATACCATGCAAGGTTGCGTGACCGTTCATACCCCACTCTTTGCTGCTCTGCACACCATTTGCCCTAATTGGTCACACCCACTCTCTGGCTTTCTCACACACGCTAATACACACTCATATAGGCAGATGCACCAAAGCATACAACAGACACAACAATGTCTCCTCCCCATATCCCCCGGTGACAATGAGGAGAATCCTTGAGGGTATCTGACAAACACGCATGTACATGCACATATGCGTGCACATTATCATGCACATATACACATACTCTACTAAGCATATGGAAGACAATCACGCAATCTCTCCCGCCCACAACCCCCACAACCTTCCCTCCTCTGGCTTCCTGAGCTCTATTAGCTAATGAACAATAACCGCAGTACCTTGCCTTTGTTTCTCCAGAAGAGGTTTCCAGACTTTTTACACTTGTGTCCCTGCTGCCCAGTCATGAAAACTTCACTGAAAAACCAACCATCATGTTACAAAAATGTTGATCTGAACTGACTTTCAACTGGGTTGTATTAAACATTCAGCTGTTTCAATGTGCACATTGTTCTTTTTTAATGTAGTACTTTGAATTGTAGCATGATTTTTCCCAGTACTTTCAAACAGGGGCGTCCTAATCTGATCTTAAACAGCTGATTAAGGTATTTTATTTTATTTTTTTTAACTGATGGGTATTAGTATGAACCTAAGCTGGATCCTTTGTTTGCGGTCGCTGTCACGCAAGTACCACAAAGGGACGACGTGATGTAAAGGGCAATACTCATACCAATTTTGAATAATTTTCTCATTCAAATAATGGGAAGCTCATCAATTGCTAATTTATTTAATTTTTTAAATATATTTTTTAGCTTTTTGCCTTTATTTTTAGAGCAGTAGAGATGGACAGGACAGGGTGGTGAAGAATGGGAAGAGACCTGCAGCAAAGGGTCGTGAGCGGGAATCGAACTCACGACTGCTGCGTTGGGGACTATAGCTCCTGTTAATGGGACGCCCGCTCAACTAGGTGAGCTCAGCAATCCTTATTTTATCATGTGATAACACAAGTTGAGTCACTCGACCTTTTGTCTGTGCTGTTTCACTCAGTGGACACGTGATATGGGTTGCCAAGGTTGCTGTGTTACATTTGCCAGTAGGACATAGGAACAGAAGATCCCATCTTGTTTTAAATGTGAGTTCTGGTCGCAGGCCATTAATCGCCACGGAAGTCTTTGTCATAGTGGCCTGCTACGAGCTAAACCCCACAACGTTGACAGCAGAAGTGCCTGTAGTCCAAGTCACCAAATCCTCGAGTCGCTACGATATTAACCAGCAAGAGGGTCCATCTGGATGGCTCAAGCTGGTGCTACACAACTAAAGTAAGCAACGTTGTCTTACCTGCATGTACAAGATACAGGTTTTTGTTTTCTTCTACAGCTTATGGAGTCACAGTACCATCTGTCATAATGTTCAGACAGCGTCCTCACAGAGTTTTACAGCAACGTTCCTCACCACCTACAAAACACTAAGCAACAGCCTGGATTCAAAAATGCATTTTTTGTCTTAATGCATGGCAGAGCTATTCAGTTGTCAAGCATATACATCTGGTTGATTTTGTTGAAATTTAATGTATTTGAATTTAGTGTTATTTAGGAAAATGGTATCGAATGGGACTCATCAGATACTAAATAACAACTTGAATCAAATCAGGGCAAGTCTCTGGACACTCCTATTCATTTTCTTGATCCATTCGGCTACCTATAGGTAACTACTGCATGTTTATTCATTGTTTTAGCTTTCTATTCTGTTTTAACCATTTTTACAGGTACAAAACAGATTCCTTCATTAGGACCTAAATGTTGCACTACTAAACTTATGATTGACAATTAGACAATGTGTGGGAATCTGTTTTGTACCTATTAGATGTGCTTGTTCTTCTCCAGCACACCTGCCTCGTGTAATAGATGTGGTTTAACCATTTTTACAAATATTTAGTCCATTATACATTCATTGGTTAAACTGTTTATTACTTTTAGATCATTATTTAGACTTGCGAAATAGCAAACCATTTTTCAGCACTCTGAATCACGATGTGGTTGCCCTTGACCCCTGAATAAGAATTTGTTTTTTAAAACAGATATCACAATTTACATTTTACCAAATTAGTAGGCCAGTCTTTATAAAACAAAATTCAAAAAAAGACCTTGGTAACTCTATGAATGCCAGTCCTTGGGGTGCATGAACTCCTGGTTTAGAATGGCTGGTTTAAAAAAAAAAAAGGCTGGAAGTATGAGGAAACAACATTTACAGCTATTTTTCAGTCTGAACGTGGTCGTATCTGTTGGGATGCAGTGTTGAGATAAAATGCTTTATGTATGTGCCCAGGGGCAACTCGCCAGTTGAAAGGTTACTGAGTTCAACCTGGTGATTCATGGAGTAGATATGCAGGCCACAGCTGACCGTGAGTCATACACACATGCATGCACATATGCAACACACAAGCAAGCTACTTCCCCACCACAGAAACACAAAGGGATTCAGACCAATGTGGAAGGAGGGCCGCTGATTCAACCCGGACTACCGGACATCTCAAACATTAACACATGCATGTACAGTATACTGTAATCATTGTGCACTTTACTATCAATCCCACGGGGCAGAACCAGCAAACATTCTCAGAACCTAAAGGACCAAAGTGAATGCTCTAATAATTTCCATGCGAGATTAGGGCGAAGAGTACAGTGAGATTAGGAAGCCACTGCCAGCACAGTTTGTTTTGGCTTGTGTTCATGCTCCAGTTGACTGATTAATCTGCGAGGGTTAGTCGAGGATAGATGCTTAAAACGTCTCTTCTGCTGGCGAATGCTTCTGCCTGCTGGCCACAGACGCACACTGCAGCTGGAGAGGAGCCTCTGACTTCATGACTCTTAACTTGCTCTGTGGGAAGTCGCTGTCATGAACAAATATTTAGTAATAATGAGGAGCTGAAGTGAAACATGTTTAAAGAGCATTCCGAGTTTTACTTGATCTAGACTGTAAATAAGATGCTGGTCTGCAATCACATGACTGATTAGTGATCATTAAAATAACCAATGATATTGTATTTAATGTGCCCAAGACATTCTCAGGGATGCTTTAAGTTTTTTCTTATATTTTATTCATCACTGAAGCAGAGAGAGATGAGTTGCTAAAATATAAAATCACAAAACTTCTGAATCCAAACCCACGCTGTGTAAAAATGTCAGTTAGCCACAAAGCATTCCACTCCGATTGCCAACATTTTCTTCGCTCTTACTCAACCCTAGAGTTTGGACCACTTCTTGTATATTTGCTTGTGTAACACAGATGCATGATACATTAGTTATGTTATTGGCAAACTCTTACAGGCAACAACAGAAAATCCAACGCACAAACATTTCTGTGTGCAAATATTTGACAGCATGATTGAGTCACAACAGAGAACGTCTTGTCTTACCAAAAGTTTAAGTCAACTGGCTTTACTATTAAATCCAGCGAAGCAAAGAGCATGATGCTTCAAGTATTTTCCCACAAACCAAGAGAACACTTGCAACTTATTAGACTAAGGTGGAGGCCAGCCTCCACTTAGACTGGTCAGCTCATAAACATGACATGATTTAGTTGAGATTTCCCTGGACTCTGCAATGTAAAATCTGTACAGTGCATCCTAATCCCTGATTTAAGGGCTTGAAAGGAGTTCCCACATTAATGTCAGCAGGAAAGTGAGACACTCAGACTAAGGACTGCATGAATTGTAGCTGCACACAACTGGATTACTTGTCCCTCTGGAGTGAGAAAGTGCTTCCCATCAATATGAAGGGAAAATGCCAACCAAAAAAACCCTGAAGGGTGTGTTAGACACTTTGGCCCACAACTGTTTGCTGAGGCTGTGATCTCTGATCTCCAGCAGGTATTTTACCCCTGACAGCAAATTGAAAACCTCTGCTTCGTCATGGGACTTTGGAAAGTTTCAATCTGGAGAAAGCAGTGCAATAGGAGTTTTCTGCCCAATGTGACTCACTGTGGATTTAAGTGTTTTGACCTACAATAGCAGGCATTTAATCCATGGGTTTAACTCAGAACAACTGAAAATCCAACGGAGGCTTTGTTGTTCAGAAAAAGGCACTGTGTGACTGTTCTGTGCCGAAATGACTTAGAATGCTCAAAAAAGTCATTAAAAACTGGGAAGACTGAAAGTTTAACAAAATACAAACAGTGTTGTACATGCATCCATGGTGCAGGTTTTTGAACATCCTTTGAATCTTCATCCTGAAGTTTTGATCAAAGTCCTGAAGTGTCATTCAGACTTTAGCCTCTGTGGACTTGGTGCTGCCTTGTAATGGGCTATGATCTGAATCAAGATGAAGCAGTTAATGACCAAGAAGAGCAACCCAGCGAACCAGATCAACAAGAAGCTGTTGTAGCCCTCAAACTCCAAGAAGTAGGCTGGACCCAACCAGATACCCTGTAAACGGACAGAAGATGAGGAGTAATCAAAAAGGTCCAAAACTATTCCTGTTGCAAATGAACAGAGCACAGCGCCATCATGTGCATGCAACAGGTGCAACTGTCATAATTCAGGAATCCTAATCAACATCAACTTGTATTACACATGTGTTTAGAACTACTTGCAGGTGAGCATTTGCAATTTAATCGACCTCAAATGGGATGAGAGAACAAACAGCACATTCTGTGTCCATCAGTAGCTTGGGAGGGTCTTTAACGGTAAAAACAGCCGGCTTCAAAAGGGAAGAGCTCTCAGCCTCCAAGACCAAAGAAAATTCTTCAACTAAAGAACGTTTGTTTTTATCAGCATTTACGGGGTCGCCCACCGTGAGTTCATCCCCACAAGGTCAGACTGAACGCTGAGTTCAGCTGTCTGAGTATATCACTACTTCAAACAGGATGGCAGCAAACTTTTTTGTTTTTTTAAACACCCTTGGACTGTTTTTAATCACACCTCGTGTAAGAATTTCCTCTAAAATGGGCCACTTTAGTTCATCCAAAAAAAAAAAAGAAGCAAAATAAGTTCAGTCCTTTGTGTCTATGCTGTGAATATCTACTACTTGGAACACATATTTAATTGTAATTCAGGATATGGGAAGTGAATTACCTGTCCAGCAAACCACAGGAGCAGCAGTCCCAAGCCCTGCTTCACTGACAGACTCAGGTGTGGGATGACGAGTGGAAGTAAGCACAGGTACCAGAGAAAGTACTGCAGAAACATAACAAGCAAGATGGTGAAGTTCTATGTAAAAGGTGTGAGCAATGTCCAGAAAAAAAAAATCCTATTGTAATGGGTTATATGCCAGCTGGAATGCACAAACTAACCGTTACAACTGAGGGTAATAAAGTTTTGCTTTATCACAAATAACGCTACAGTATCCCAAAGACAAGCAGTGAACAAATTCTAATAATCTATAATGATATAAAAGTAATGCTAATGACGTTCTGATACGGTTTCCTGCTTATGAAAGTAATGCCGGCGACTGTCCGAACAATGAGGATTCGGTCAGAGGAGAGCACACTGACCAACCAGTCGACCTGCAGACTACAGCTCTGGTACTGTATCATCTGATCTCTGTTTAAGAGTCTGTTAGCGGCGGCGGTTTACGCACCTGTGAAGTGCAGACTTTGTTGAAGGAGACGAAGATGGCTGTGTGGAGGAAGCAGGAGAAGGCCAGGTCACGGTGGAAGGCCCATGATGCCACCAACAGCAGGGTGAGCTGAGGCAGGAATGCTGCCAGGCCAAGGCCCTGGCTCCACCTGCTGTCTGTGAGAACAAGAGAAAAAAAGGATTGAAGCAAGTCTGGAAAACTTTATCATCTCCTGTACCATATGACACTATTAACACAGAGGAGAAAGCAAAACATACTAGACGCATTATGCTCCTACTATGTAACAGATTTACCAAGCATTTTACTGCTGTTCGACCAGAAGCAATGCACACACGAGCTTGTACACTATGCTGGTCTTTGTTCTGTAGCTCTGTGTGCTGAACAATCTAGGTGTCTGTAAATGGCAGGATGAATGAATGAATACCTGCAGTGAGGTAGAGCATATAGAAGTATGGGGAGAAATTGTGTCTGATGTCCCTCCTGGTCAGATGGTACAAGTAGGTCTCATGAAGAAACTGCCAACCGTACCTGAATTTAAAAGAGAGAAGTTACATGATTTTAACATTTCTACTTAAAGTCGTACGTTATTGTATTAGCTCAGACAAGGGATGATGTAGAGTGGCTGTTAAATTAAACAGTAAAGTTAAAAATGGCTTTATATGATTTTAGTAGGCTGCAAGGTGGAGCAGTGGTTAGCATCGTTGCCTCGCAGCTAGAAGGTTCGCCTGTTCGCGTCCCGGTGATAACACCCAGGATCTTTCTGCGTGGAGTCTCCATATTCTCCCCGTGCAGCGTGGGTTCGCTTTGGGTTCTCCGGCTTCATCCCACAGTCCAGAAACATGTTGAGGTTAATTGGTGATTCTAAATTGTCCATAGGTGTGAATGTGAGTGTGCTTGGTTGTCTGTCTCTAAGTGTAGCCCTGTGATAGACTGGTGACCTGTCCAGGGTGTCCCTTGCCTTCACCCTGAGTCAGCTGGGATAGACTCCAGCCCCCCGAGACCCTAGTGAGGATTAAGGTGTAGATGATGAATGGATGGATGGATGGATGTTTTAGACATTATATTTCAATCTTTCCTAAATAACTGCATCTCCTTCAAATACCTGATTTGATAATGAGTGAATTATATTAACTGAAATAAACACAAATCTTTAATACTTGCTGTACAAAGTCAGTTCTCAGTTAAAGGATCTGTGTATGTGTGTTCATCTCACATGTAATAGAAGAGAGCCGTGAGCGCACAGAAAACCCCTCCAGCCACACTTGCAAAGAGGAGCAGTTCTCGGTTGAGGAAACTTCCAACAAATACGAGGAGCCTCTTCCACTTCCAGCTCTTTTTGTCAGCCTCTGCTCTGGTCTCTGGTGTACGCAGGGTCAAAACAATGGGCAGAGCATATGTAATGGGGTAAATCTTCATATGAACTGACAAGCCATAGAGTACAGCTGCCCACAGGAGATGTCGGGCTAGAAGAAAAAAGAAAAAATATTTAACACAGAGGTTGTGTGTCTACAGTACATTACAATACATAATTAAATTTCTAGACATGAAATGCCACAGTAGCAGCCACATTAAAGCTCCAAAGCTCTACACACAGCCCACACCCTTACCTTCCATACAGAGCAATGTCCCCAGCACAAGCGCAGCCAGGATTGACTCAGCATTCCCTCGGCTGGATACTCCCATGGGCAGCGGGTTGAGAAGCCACAGAGAAGAGACGCGACGGGCAGTCTGAATATAAATCCCACAAAAACACAACTTCTCGTCATCTGTGTGAGCAAGAAAACTTCCAAGTCACTGTGACTCTTCTGATTAAAAATATCAGGTGAAGGAGAATCAGACTGACAAACCTCAGAGCCCAGACCTCGCAGGCAGAGGATTCTGTAAATGAGCAGGCCTGATAGCACATCACAGATTATGAAGAGGATCTTGCCAAACACCATGCTGAGGTAGATGTTGGGTGTGAGAAGCAGGGCCAGAAGAGGAGTGTAGCGGTAGGTCGACCTGTTGTATGGAGACGCGCCCTATTCCCAAAAAGATAAAATAAAAAGGACGACATAATAAGGGGTGAACCAAGAGAGGTGATTACGGACAAACAGAGATAGCTGCTTAAATCCTTTATTTAACCACAAATCAGTTAAATATTTTGAGAAATGCAGATTATTGGATCCGATAATCGGTCAAGATTTAACACACAGGATATCCTATGCTTTTTCAGCATCATAACAAAAACAACAAATTGCTAATAAATGGTCAATACATCAGTCTTCACGTGAAGGGAGAACATTTAGACCATTTATTTGACAAAAAGTTGAAATATCGCCCTATTAAAATCCCCAAGGCCACTTTTAGTGTTGTAGCATTATTGGAAAAGCTTACTTTAACTGCATCATATAATTTGGAGGAGTTTAATCAATAGCAAAGCAACGTACTTGTCATGTTTTTGTACGTCTTAATTTAAGGCAGCTTCAATTTGATAAATATGCATGTTGTTGAAAAATAGGTTTCCCAATGTTTTACGCATTTAAATGTTTCTGAATGTTTGGAAACCTTGTAAAGCCGAAGTAGTACAGCAAAGTAGCATTAAATTGGATAGAAATAACTCAAAATTATACTCAAGCAGAAAGTTTTAGTACTTTTTCCACCTTTGAGGCTGCACTACGCTAGCAGTTCAGAGCAGCTTTAAGCCTGCTGTTAGCCACAAACTTACCTCAGTAATGAACCTCGCAGCATCTGTGAACACATGGTAGTCAATATCTGTGTACTTCACCACCATGGTCCTGTCCTGGTAGTCTCCATAAGCCACCAAAGCCAGTCGAATAACGAAGGAAGCCGTGAAAAGGACGTTCCTCCCTGTGAGCTTGTGCATTAGCCTCTCCATTACCAACCGAATAAACCAGATTAGCAGGTGAGTTAGCTAGTTTGTTAGCTCGTCTCTGGGCTGGAATACGTTAAACAAACTGCCCGACTCTTCGTGTCCATTTCTGTTTTCTTCTTTCTTTGAAGAACGGAGGCTTCAAGCAATTTCACCCGCGTGTGTTATTAATACCAACTTGGTTTTTTACCATTCAAATTTCAAATATGACAACCCGGAAGTAATCCGGAAGTAAGTTCTTCTTCTTCTTCTGTTTCGTCGTCGTCGTCGAGTTGACTGGCAGACTTGTAAAGCATTTTTAAAGGTTCCTGTCGCCACCAACTGTACAATCGAGGGGGAGCTTTCGAAAAACAAACTGTTTTTGAGATTTGCGAGAGACAGCATTCACTAAAATAAATAAATAAATAAATAAATAAATAAAAAAATACAACTCCATGTATTAGAGGTGACTTGACTGCCATCTACTGGTGGCTACATACATTACA